AGCCCGTGCTACATGGACATTTCGTTCTGAGTAGCTAAATCTAAAACATGAAAGAACAACATCCCTACCCAGTCAATAGCAAATTTACGGGGTATTCATGCCCGTGCCACTTCTTGAGTGGCCTAATCTTCATCGATCACTCGATTCCCCAATCAAGTTAGACTAAATATTCCGAAAAGAATCCACAAGGGAATAGCAATTTGGTTGTATAAACTTCGGCTGAGTTACAGATGGACCCGGGAACATTAGGGACTCCAGAGAGTGGCAATGTATCTTCTGTCAAACATTCAGAGAAAAGCCACAACTTCACTATCTCGAATGTGAAGCAATCAACGACCTTAGATGAGCTTTAAAGAGTCCCTGAAGCCATCAACACTGCCACTCTTCTGGTAATGAAAAGTGTCCAGCAGCTGGAGACCCTCGTAAACACTGTCAAGCAGTATCCTCCCCCCAGTGATGGCAGCCACCGAGTGAGGACTGACACATGCGCGCCCCCCTGGACACACAGTGTACACCACCACACCAGGGTCATCGGCCTCCCGGTGACCAGGAATACCTGACAAGGAACCGGGTGCCCACCTGGGTGACCACCTGGGTGACCACCTGGGTGACCACCTGGGCGACACCTTCACAGTCACACCAAACATCCACCACCTGGGGACTACTACCGCCTCTGCCACTGCTTGGCGGCTTGATCTTCACCACTCAATCCCGCAGTCAAAATATTGTGGTAGTAGCATTGTGTAGCGCCGGAGTGGACGACGGCACCGTGTCGTGGACCCCACTGGCCATCCTCTGGCCCGGAAGTTACCCGGTGCACTAACGGCACTCCGTGGCAATGACGGCCAGGGTAATGTTGGTTACTCGCTCGAGTGCAGGTAGTTCCTTAGAGCATGAACACTCGCCCACCTGCTCGTCGTGAACACTGACACTTGTGAACAAACATGGCGCCGAGTACTGGAGACGTGGCGCTGCCTCGCCCACTACTGCCGCTAACTCACAAGAGCTTCCCGTTCTCTTCTCTCCTCGGCACTTCGACATAACGCATCAAGGCAGGAGAAGGTGTCTCTAATGATTCACTCCTCGTGCTGGTGAGGACGTCTTGGTGGTGCTGGGGTCACTCCTCGTGCTGGTGAAGACGTCTTGGTGGTGCTGGGGTCACTCCTCGTGCTGGTGAAGACGTCTTGGTGGTGCTGGGGTCACTCCTCATGCCGGTGAAGACGTCTTAGTGGTGCTGGGGTCACTCCTCATGCTGGTGAAGACGTCTTAGTGGTGCTGGGGTCACTCCTCGTGCTGGTGAAGACGTCTTGGTGGTGCTGGGGGTCACGCCTCGTGCTGGTGAAGACATTTTGGTGGTGCTGGGGTCACTCTTCGTGCTGGTGAAGACGTCTTGGCGGTGCTGGGGTCACTCCTCGTGCTGCTGAAGACGTCTTGGTGGTGCTGGGGGTCACTCCTCGTGCTGGTGAAGACGTCTTGGTGGTGCTGGGGTCACTCCTCGTGCTGGTGAAGACGTCTTGGTGGTGCTGGGGGTCACTCCTCGTGCTGGTGAAGACGTCTTGGTGGTGCTGGGGTCACTCCTCGTGCTGCTGAAGACGTCTTGGTGGTGCTGGGGGTCACTCCTCGTGCTGGTGAAGACGTCTTGGTGGTGCTGGGGTCACTCCTCGTGCTGGTGAAGACGTCTCAGTGAACAGTGACGTGTGGCGTCTGAGACTCGGGACTAATAAGCAAATATCGTCCTCTGGTCAGAGGAAAAATGTAATATCTGTAACCAGACTCGATGTGAATTATCTACCAGGTTCCTGCATAATATCTACCAGGATCCTGCATAATATCTACCAGGTTCCTGCATAATATGTACCAGGTTCCTGCATAATATCTACCAGGTTCCTGCATAATATCTACCAAGACTGTACAGTAACTACCAAGTCCGTATACAATAACTACCAAAGTCGGTAGAGCGACGGACTCGCTTCTTGCAGGCCGGCGTTCGATTCTCGATGTTCCAAGGGGCACCATTCCGTCTCTCACTCCAATCCCAGACCCTCTCCTCACATCCCTCCCAGGTGCTATGAAGCCTTCCTGGCTCAAGGCTTCTCCTGGTAATTGTTCCATTTGTGGTGATTGTAGGAGTTGATAACTGTATTACGAGCAGATACTGAGGGAACACTGAAGATCTGCGATGGGCTCGAACCCGTGGCCCTGGACCCCCAGGTAGTGCCAGGGATGTCGCCTCACTCCTCACACAGCTTCAGTATGGTCCCATAAATACTTTCCAGTGATTGTCAATTCACATCGAAACTGAAATACTTTATTCGCAGATTGTACATTTATACTTGGGTTAGCTTACACAAATTTACAATCATTCATTTACTTAATCGAAAGTAAAAATAATAACACAGCATGTAATAGCTGTAATTATATACTGTATACTCAAGATTTAGAGTTAGATTTAGAAGTGATTTACAAATGCTTGTGCAGGCGGTACTGTGTATGGGGGCGGCCATGTTGTGGAGCCGCGCCAGGGGCCGCAGAAGCCCCTCGGGGCCTCCCTCTCGGGGCTTCACGCCGCCTCTCCCACACACATTATTCTCATTTGTATCGTCTTCATCCTGTCGCCCTCTGTGACTGTGTCTGGCGTCGGTGGCGGCCGTGTTCTGTGAGACTGTGTTGGTTGGGTGTGTGTCTGGCGCCGCACCGTGGGGATCAAACCCTGGCACAATGTGGTGCCAGCGACCGCTGGTGACGCAAGAAGCCGTGAAGGTGCCACACAACCTCGGCTCCGAGATTTGCGTCGACCAATCGAGTGCAGGCGCCAGGCGCCCCGGGGCGGGGGAAGAGAGAGGGGAGGAGCGGGCTCACTAGTGAGGGGTGGTGAGGGTCTTCCTGGTGAGGGGATGTGAGGGGCTGGGGCTCTCGAGTGAGGGGAAGGCAGCTGCATGGTAAGGGATGAGGGGCGGACCTCCTGGTGAAAGGGATGAGGAGAGCGGCTCTCGGGTCAGGGGAGGGGAACCTCTCTGAGGGGAGGGGAGCCTCTCTGATGGGAGGGGAGCCTGCTCTGAGGGGAGGGGAGCCTGCTCTGAGGGGAGGGGAGCCTGCTCTGAGGGGAGGGGAGCCTGCTCTGAGGGGAGGGGAGCCTGCTCTGAGGGGAGGGGAGCCTGCTCTGAGGGGAGGGGAGCCTGCTCTGAGGGGAGGGGAGCCTCTCTGAGGGGAGGGGAGCCTCTCTGATGGGAGGGGAGCCTGCTCTGAGGGGAGGGGAGCCTGCTCTGAGGGGAGGGGAGCCTGCTCTGAGGGGAGGGGAGCCTGCTCTGAGGGGAGGGGAGCCTGCTCTGAGGGGAGGGGAGCCTGCTCTGAGGGGAGGGGAGCCTGCTCTGAGGGGAGGGGAGCCTCTCTGAGGGAAGGGGAGCCTGCTCTGAGGGGAGGGGAGCCTGCTCTGAGGGGAGGGGAGAGATGGAGCACCTGACTGAGGAACAAATTTTGGGTCCTCACTCGCCGCTGTTATACCTAAACAATTAATAACTTCTGTGATGTATGATGAATGAGGTGCACAGTAACGTGACCTTGGAGGCCAGCAGTGTGGCCATCAGAGGCGAGCGTGTGCACACGCCTCATGTAGCTCAGCAAGCCTAGCGTATGCACGCCGCACAGGTCCCGGGTTTGACCTACTCTTGAAAAACTCTGTAGACAGTTCACAGAATATTTCGTATCTTTGAGCCAGTCTGACTGGTCGACGCTCTCACTACCAGTCTGACTGGTCGACACACTCGCTACCAATCTGACTGGTCGACACACTCACTCACTACCAGTCTCTACTCTAAACATTCATAATAGTAATAATAATATTATGATTACTTATTAGACGTTGAGACGTAAGTCTGGAGCGCAGCCCACACTCAGACCTTGACCAAGCACTCAGGAGCGGGCGAAAGACTTGGTGTAAATTCCTCACATAAATGTCATCCTGGGTTTTTAATCCTATGTTATTATGTACGTGAGAAAACATTACTATTGCTAATATTAGTAATGTTATTATTATTATTATTATTATTATTATTATTATTATTATTATTATTATTATTATTATTATTATATAAATAATAACAATAATAATGAGACAATCCACCAGGGCTGTGAGGTGGTTACATTAAATCCACTAGTTAGTGTGATTTCTGTGAGTTTCTGTGAGTAATACTACTTTTTATTCTTCTTATTATAAGAACATGGTGCACAAAAGGTGCTGAAGGGCAGGTTCTATTTACACCCAGCTAAACTCAGCCATAAATGTCTAACCTTCTCATGAATTAATCCAGCCAACCAGCGTGTATTGTTCCCCACTACTCTAATTTGTTCCATAAATCAAGAACAATATTCCCAAAGTATTATATACCTCTGGTCTTTTTTTTTTAATATAAACTTTTGCAATTTGTATTCATTGTATCGTATTCAATTAATATAGTATTCTATTTTATTATAGCCGGTTATACTTGTGAATTCTTCAGTCATGTTCCCCCCCCCCCCCCTCACTCTTCTCCTTTCTAGAAAGTGGAAATTAAGGTTCTTTAATCTCTGTTCATAAGGAGGTTTCTAATTCCTGGAAATAAACGTTGTCATTCACTTTCCCTCTGCCTCCGAGTATGTCAAAGGCAACTTGAGTGAAACGTGCGGTTTGAGCGACACTGTCAGCCTCAATAACATTGTTAAATGAACTATAAAGAGTTAACTTTAAAATTTTCTTTCTAAGTGATGAATATAATAGATATAAAGATAAATAGATATAAAGATAATTCGTGCTTATCGAATTAATCGTCCCACTCATGTTCAGTAACACACACACACACACACACATATCCACACCAGTTCATTGACAGTTGAGAGGCGGGACCAAAGAGCCAGAGCTCAGCCCCCGCAAGCACAACTATGTGAGTACACACACACACACACACACACACACAACACACTTTCATGATGCATAAATTCCGTACTAA